GAATTTAATTAAACAAAAGCAGGTAAAATCATCGGTAGGCTAGAATTAATACAATTAATAACTTTCAGAGCAGTACAAATCATGAGACACCAAAGAGGTTTTGCACAGGTTCTGCGTGGTTCCCTAAAAAATCAAGAACTGACTCAGAAAACACTATGAGAGCATCCGCTCAGTGCTTAGCAACAGTTTGGAAAGCTGAGAAAATGTTTAGTCACATTCATACAGCGGGATACGGAAGGAGGACACGGAATTTAAAATTCGCCTCTCCAGTAAAACACTGAATTTGGTTAACTTTAAAGAAACCTTTTAGAGGAAAGTAATAATGCTAAAAGCATACAAGCAGCATGGGAAGGACTGGGATTTTCCAATGACTCTCTCGCGCAAGACCCTTTCTACTTATCAATGCAGTAAGGCTTCCCAGAACCAATTCCTCCTTTCCTGGGATCCTGCCCTTTCCCAGAGCTGCATGAGCACAAATCTTTGCATCCAATAAGGCAAAGAAGTGCAGTCCCCACTGAAAGCTCCCATATTTGTTCTAGAAGAGACAGAGACTAGGTAAGTATGATAAAAGAATAAAGTCTTCATTATGCAAGAACTAGATTTTCTTTCTTGTGAGAGTGTTCAAGAAAAAAAATAAAATTCCCTGGAAGGATACAGCTCTTTGAGTGAGCTTTTTCTGGCGAAGACAGCAGGGTCTCCCAGCGCCCTTTCATTATGATAAACAGGGGAAAGAGTGGGATCACAAAGGCTCAACATAACCCAAGCAGCTTCAAAGAACTTCAGGTTTGATACTCAATACCACAGTCCATGGTATTCAAACAAAATAACAAAGGAGAAGCTCCATGACAGGATAGGATTCCCACTGTCAAGCTGTCTCCTTATCCTATCTTTTATGATTGCAGGCACCACTCACAAACCTCAAGCTCATGGATTACATCCTAAATGGGGTCAAAAGAAGCACAGAACAATTAGTGGTATTAGTGTGGCACTGCCCTCTGACTGATCCATTAATCTTAGAGCAGGGTCAACACTCAACAATATTGAAAACTACACACGTTTCAAAGGAAAATCCCTCCTGTATATAGTCAAATTCTGAAATCCAGTAATATGAGATATTAGTAAACTAAATAGCTAAGCAAAATTATGAAGACTTGATATTTACATCAATTGAAACAGTATTCATAGCTGTATTTGCCAGATTAGAGTCACGAGGACATTAATTCTCATCCCGAAAAACAGAAGCTGTTTGCCAGCTGGGATTATGAAAGAATTCCCTCTCTTTCCTTTGCCTCATGGGCTATCAGAGTACATCTGGTGAGTACTGATTATCTTTCTATAAAACATTATAAGAAAGAATAATTTAATTTATTATCACTGGAGAAGCCAAATTGGCTGAGTCAGTGATCTTCCATTATGGTATGACAACTCTGCTGGATAGTCCAATACCGCAAACAGTAGATAAAATAATCACAGATGCTTATTTTCTCTTCTTTCCTCTCAGCCTCACCTAAAACAGTTCAAAAGGTAAAAGCCATGTCTTCATTTTCACAAATTCTTTACTGTGTCAGCTACAGACAGTCTGGATAGATTTTTTTTCTGGTAGAAAAACTGTAAAAATCTATTCTAGGTCAACGATTTCCACTGTCAGTATCATTCAAAATGTTCAGAAGGCTCAAAGGGGAAAAATAAATCAGTAAGTATTGGTATTACGCAAGCTCTCTGAAGAGGTATTGACTGCATTTATTGCAAAGAATTAAGAAGTGGCTTTAATGTCATTCTATTCATCTGTGTCCTTTCTTTACAACTGATCTCACATAATAAACCCTGCTACAAAAACCAGCGTGCACTTTGACTAGATTAAGGACAAAACGATTGCATATGCATAATGCTGTGGGTTATAAACGTAAAGTAATGCCAGTGAAATGCACACATATCTCTGTGTGTGCAGGACACCAGGCAGAAGGCACAGATTTTGCATGCTATGATCACAAAGATAACTATGCTTACTAAAGCAGTTCTATAAAATCCATCAAACTGACACTATTAAAGAGCAGACATGTGACTAAGTATGAATGTGATTTCCCCTGTGAAAGGATTCATGAAGCTGCCTTGCCTTGAGTTAGGTGGGGTGTGAGATTATACACTGCCTACACACTTGTAGTTCAGCAGGGACACCCCTTGCAGGAATGGCAGAAGGTATTTTTAAAGCAGCAACCTTTTCCACTGCTCCAGCCTCCCACAGCGACGCAGATCATTAATGGCAGCTGCCACGGGAATGGTGCACTCAAAGGTCAGTAGCAACTCCCTCCCTTCACTGCCAACAGGCAGAAGCCGACAGCTGGGGGCAAGAGAGGGATTTTGCCCCAGAAGACCCTCTTAAATTGCTCCTAGTGTTCTGGAGCAATTCAGGTGCAGAGGTGGGCACTGTCTGCCAAAGAAGGTGAAGATGAGGAACTTCTCGATCCTAGCTCTGATACAGCTGTAAGTGGGAAAGAGGATCTGTCAGAAACCAATTGTTCTCTCCACAGAACAAGCAGCAGGCAAGGCTCTTTTGTCACACATCAAAACAAAAACAGTAAGGGAGGTAAAAATACCTCATTTTCTTTCATATCTAAATTCATCAATATTAGCTCTCTCTTTACAAGAAAATATTCAAACCTATATTGAAGCCAAAAATCCAAGCATCTTGAAATCTAAAAAAAACAGCTTTCTGGAACCATTTTTACTTTTGAGTAGCTAAAACCAATGCAGAGTATCAGACAGCAGAACTTTATCCAGGACCAGACCAGAAGCCAGGATCCTGTGCCACACAATGCTTGGCCATCTTGTAAAGTCTTGCTTCCAGCCTACCACAAACCAGGGAAGAAATCATGCATTTCTTGCCTGCCCTGCATAAAGCAGAAATGCAGTGTTTCAGAGGGTTTTTTTCCCCCCATGAATTTTTAAATGAAACAAAAAATAGGGGGAGCTGCACTACATTCTCCCCATTTTTTTCCTCTAATTAGAGACATATATATTAGTAAGATGCTGCTAAGCACAGTACTCTACTGTACATATAGATTACTTTGTATCTGGTTTATTTATTCATAATTTAATATTATTTTATATTACAACTCAGATTGTATTTAAAATTGTATTGTTAAATGAATCATATTTTATGAAGAGGTTTTTTTCTAATTGTGACACTAACACACTGGGTCATTTTTTCCATGAAAGCTCAATATCTTAAGCTTACTTACAAGGAAAAATGTAGAAACACACATATCTCTTTGATAAATGAGACCTGTCAGAAGCCAATGATCCCAGTGCACAGGATATATAGTCCACTTGACAATGTAAGCTCAACAGCAGTGAAGTAACACTTTTTACAGCCCCCTATTTTGTAACAAAGATCTAGATTGCAACCAGTCTCACTGTAATTTACTTCCCGGGAGAAGACTCTGGGAGTTCTGTGTGAAAATCGTTTTATGTTTCTTCCTTCTATTATTTTTCCATGGAAACAAGTACTCTATTCTGTAACTTATGCAATAATTATTACACGAACTAAGCTGATTATAAATGTATCTAATACATATGTTTTATGTAAGTGCTTTCTTTTTTTCTTTTGAGCTAAAACATCAAACACAAAATATACATAACATTTGCTTTGTGTACTGAAACACAGGAACACATTATTCTCTGTCATAAGGATTTTATATTTTAAGGTCCCAATTCTGCAGAAAACCTAATAAAGTATATACTCATTTTTATAGTTAGCTCAGTAGGAACACTCATAGCATGTGCGAGTCTTTGCAGAAATAGCACTGATGTAACTTAAACTGTAGATGTCACACAAAAATGTATTCACCTGTAATTACACTACAATTTCTAATATTTTTTTTCCTAAATAACCTCTTTCAAATAAAACCTTGATCAACCACCCCCAAGATTCTTTGCAGAATCCACATCCCAGCATTGTTTTCTTAACGTTGTACAGGAACAGCCATGGAATTATAGTGGAAATGTGCACGCCAACATATAGCACCACCATCTGAGGGGGTCTGCATATATTACCACACATAGTTTAGTCATGGTTCAAAAGAACTCAGCTCTGATCTGATTAATTAAAGAATTCAGTTCTATTCCCTAAAGAAGATTTTGAAAGAGAACCAAAGGGTGACTACAGAATGGCTGTTGCTTTACAGGATGCCAAAGATATTTTGGGGTTTATTTTGTAGAGTTAAATCTTTACTGAAATTAACAAGCTATTAAACAGAAAAGCTTTGTGTCTGCACGGGGGTTTAAGTGGCAAACCAGTTCATTTTTTAGGCAAACAATGTTCTTATTAATTTACAGACATTTTACAACTTTGCATTTACATTAGTTCAGACTTTTACTTGCAGCGTATGTTACATTTTCTAGCCTATTCATTATATTATGGATTTTTACAGGGACAGTATAGGAGCAGAGAGAAACCCAGAGATGGTGCCAGGAGCTAGGTAGCTCAATGAATTAATACTGGGCCGTTGCTTTCCTCAATTTGGTAGCTGTTAACACTACTGCATTCAGTGTTCTCCTCTTCTCTGCGCTGAGGTGGTATCTGCAAGTACCAGAGTGCTTACCACCTAACTCCTCCAACCCTGGGGCACTAATGTGGCCAGTCTCCCCACGGGAAGAGCAGGGAGGTGATCAGTGGCAGCACAGTTTCCATCTGATCAACACCTATGACCTTCGTCATTCCAACTAATACAAACAGTTCGAATTCATGGAGATCTAGACCAGTAGTTGAGACCATGGTCATCTATCTGCAAGTTCAGTTTGTCTCAGTGGTCATATTTTCAAAATCAAAACCAAAACAAAACTGTAATACTGTATCTTTTCCCTCTCTTGGCATCAAAGGAGAGAAGACATGGAGAAGTCAAAAAACTCTGATTCCACCTGGGAATACTGAAAGTCCTGTGAAGGAAGCCAGGTAATCTTAAGTATTAAATTACAATTTTTTTTCCTTCTAAAATACTCACCTGACTTTCTCTTTGGTGTTTCTAAGAACAGTTGCAGCAAAATTTTGAGTAACACCAACCAGACTGATGCCATCAACTTCCACAATTTGGTCATTCACTTGGATCCTTTCAGGGAAAAACCACAAATATATAAACAAATGTGTGAATTCTTGTGAATCTTCAGCAAAACTTAGCACAGAGAGATCTTTCTAGCTAGACTTTAAACAAAAGCTCAGTCATAAAATGACTGAGGTAAATACGAAAAATGCATCATTCCTTGCATGCAGACATCTTGCAAATCCAGCTTCTAAGTTATTACAATTAATAGCATCAATTATCCACAGTCGCTTTCCTTGTACAGAAATACAGCAATGCAATATGGCAAAATGGAATTTATCATATGATTAAATTGAGATACTTCACCAGCTCTTATATAATTTTTTCCTAAGCCAATCTTGAAAAACAGCATAAGACATAGCTCTGGTATTTCATGGTAATGGATAAAATTGTGATATTTAACTAAAACAACCTGCTCATCTGTGAAGAAAAGGGCTTATGTATTAGACTTAATTGTGACATACTCTCTTAAAATATTTCATCTAACTTGCTCCAAAAAATAAATTTCCAGTGTAGATGTGATCTTGCTGCACACATTAACAAGACCTTGGACTGTTTTAATGAGGCCTTTCTTTCTGAAACCAAACACCTATTTACAGCTGATATACTGTTTGATGCAGAAAAAGTTAGACAGAAGGAAAACCATGCCGCTTTTATCTAAAGCAAGCACTGCTACAAAATCTCTAGAACAGGCACTGGAGTCATCTGGATTACAAATCCTTGGAAGACGGCTGCTGCACTATCCTCCAGAAATGCATGATCTCCAATAGTGTCAAAACTTAAAAAACAAACAAACACATATAGAACTAGTCAAAGGGAGCAATTTTCCAGTACTTACAGGGATTCTATTGATCCAAACCACACAGTTTACAAAAGAACCAAGAAACAGCTATGAAAAAATCCTATTTAAATTATATAAAAGTACCTACATTATTATATTTAATATCTTAGGATATCTTAGTGATAAGGCTGCTTTTCAAAGAACAACAGAGGCTTCAACACAGGGTTGAAGCATTTTGACTTGGAGCACCAGTTTCTCTTTCAAGTCTGACGCAATGCTTTGCAGTTTTACATGTGTTCAAGCAGTATTTTCTGTTCTTTGGATTCCACTGGTGAGTAAGAAATACAATATTTATTCTTTGGCAGCCTCATACCACAGATTATTACTGTCTTCTGGGCAGGATCTCCCTTGAAGAAGACAGCCTATAAGCTATCTTGAAAATCATATTAGGTATTTTATTCTCAGAATTTTATTTCAATTTTCAATGAAGCATTTAAGAAATACACCTATCACATTAATATTTACTGAATTTTGATTTTTGTTTTTACTTAAGCGAACATGAGGTGTAGTCAGACGGCTGCAGGAGTTCCTAGAAAAGAACTTTTAAGAAGTTGGTGCTGACTGAGAGGGAAACTGTCACTCTCTTGGCTAAAAATGGTGGAAGAACAGATTCCTTTTAGATGACAGTTTATATACAACACTGTACATCACTATGCAGTGGATTAGCAGAGTTCATACAGAGCCACAGTTACAGTATTTCAGGTGATGAAACATTATGTTAGAGAACTGTTGCCTAAAACTTTGTAAGTGGCTCTATCTTGATTCAGTCTAGTTCCATTTGTCCTTCAGGCATATTTCGATTCTCCTTCTTTCTTGTTTATATAGCTCCTAAATTAATTTCCAACTCTTATTTTTATGGCCACTGTTCTCCAAACCTCCTTTCTTTCTACATATACATATATTTTAATTATACATAAACACACATACATATCAAACAATATACAAAGGCCAGCCTTCCTGTTAGAGCTCCCTCTGCCAGGAGCTCTAGGCCTCCTCTGTCTCTCAAATCTAATTTCAAACATGAATGAAAAATTAGGCTCAAGTTGCCAAAGCCTGAATTATAGACATGTAACTGCTTTTATCATTATTAACAAAATTTGTAATTTTTCTGACAATTATTTTCTTATGCTCATGACTTTAAACTTTGCCTGCAGATTAGAATGAAGTTGCAGCTACAGAAGTGAACCAACCAAGGTTGAACAAATTACCAGCACACTTACTGCTCTGCATGACAAAATGAATTTCACCTCTTCAGAGACAACTTTTAGAGCTACGTTAAGAACTATGTAATGTTTCAAAACTGTTGTTCCCAATGTTATCAAAATACTTTAAAATATGAATGACTCATCACCACAATAATTTCAAAGAAGCAGTTATGGATTGATTCATCCAGGATAAGTTTTTGTTTTTCATATTCAGTCTAATGACTGATTCCCTATTTTACACACCAGTAATAACCTCTCCTATTACTTATCAACATGCTTGCCTTTGGGTTCATCTTAAAGTACCCTTCTTTGTTAAATATTGGTACACAATGGCTTTTAATACGACAAATAAACTCTACCTGTCTGTCTGAAGCAACATGAATCAAGCCAGTGGTGCTCAAGTACTGGGAAACCCTTTTGTACAGATTTTGTGTTTCCATAGGAGGCAAGTACTTTATATCACAGTTTGATGGGTCTTTCAATGAAAGATAGGAGCTACCCTACAGATACTGTAACGTTTTAAACTGTAGCTTCAGAAGAACCTGGCTGAATACTGCTATGTGATTATTCAGAATATCTGATGCAACTGTTGAAATATAGTTTTATTTTCTTTATGAGACCTTGTTTTGCTATCAGTGTTAATGATTAACTAGGCTTTTCACAAAGATGAAGTTAACAGGACCCTTTATAGTTGATGCACTTTATTATAGAACCGTCTGCTCCTGACTGAGAGGATTACACATTCCTTTCCCAAGTGAATGATCAGTCAGGCTCTCAAAGAGAAAACTGGAGTGCTATTTCTCAGCTGACTGAACATTCTGCCAGTTGAAAACCAACACAAATATTAGAATGGTCAAAGAATGATTTTATTTTTCCTCAGCTGACAAGCTCCTTTCAGATGCCATCTAGGGAAATGAAAGAAGAGACTTGTGATGGAACATTAACTTCTGTAGCCCACTCAAACATGTGAATAATGAGAGGGAAAGAAATTACAGATCATCACAGAGCAGTAATGAGTGACTGATTTTCAAACAGAGAATTTCACAAAGAATGCCAGTCGTGAGCTTAATGCCTTTTGGCTGAGGTCAAGCACACCCTTCAGAAAAACATTCACTGAAATTTAAAGTAATGGATAAAGTCATGACATCTTGAGGTGTCAGCTTCTTCATTTCCCTTCATTATGTTTAAGCCTGTGATAAATCAGTACTTGGCCTTCAACTTGGTATCTTACTGCCAAGATCTGTACAGACACCTCCAAGTCCAATCTAGATGATATACCTCAGTAGTTTCAGAGCAATGTTATTAAACTTTGCAATCCCCTGCATTTTAGAATCTTCTTATTTAATTTTTGTGGGGTTTCCACAGCAGAACAACTTTTTGCCTGGCTGAAAAGTTAGAGTTGTTCATCAGTAAGGAACATGTTACTGCAATACATTTTTCAGAAGACAGTATCACCTTTTTAAGAGTTCATTCTTACTTTTACTAATAAATAAAACTTTCATATTATTTATAACTAATATAATAAATAATTAATGGTTGTAAACAGACAAAAAGAATACATATAAGTTGTTTTAATAGCTTACGTATCAGATAAGTAATATTTTATTGGCATGCAAATTTACAAAGGTTATGCACTGAGACAAAATGACAAATTGTATGGAAGATACTTGAAAATACTTTTCATTATTAAATTATTAGACAGTAACATTGGCCTTATTGTGACAGGTATTGTGTAAAACACAGATAACTTGTCCCATATGATAGGAATACTTTATGCTCAAAAGGAATTCCTTTAACCTCAACACACCAAATAAGCAATTCTTGAAGCAAGCAGGTTTTATATGAGCATCATTTAAGACTACAAACACCAATTCATTTCTTTATTGAGCAAGATTTATGGTACAGCTTCCTATTCAAGTTGATTATTGTACTTGCAATGCTGTAGGTGAAAACTGAACTCTGGAACAGAAGACTAGTCATAATAAGAAACACTAACAGTCTGTGTTAGTAAACTTAAAAGGAGGGCATTTGGTACCAGTTTAAACACTCAGATACACTAATTATTTTCCTAATCACATAATCATCAAGGTTGGAAAAGATCTTCAAGATCATCTAATCCACCCATCAACCTATCATCACAATCACTCCTAAACGATAATCCCAGGTGCCACATCCAGACGCCTCTTAAACACTTCCAGTGACTCCACCACCTCCCTGGGCAACTTATTCCAATGCCTAACCCCTCTTTCAGTGAAAAAAAAAAGTTCTTATACCTAATCTGAACCTCTCATGACACAACTTAAGGCCATTTCCTCTCGTCCTTTCTCTTGTGACATGGCAGGAGAGACTGACCCCCACCTTGCTACAGTCTGCCTTCTGGGAGTTGCAGAGAACGATACAGTCCTCCCCGAGTCTCCTCTTCTCCAGACTAAACAGCCCAGTTCCCTCAGCCATTTCTCTCACTTTCTAGACACTTTTTGTTGCCCTTCTCTGGACATGCTCCAGCACCTCAATGTCTTTCTCAAAGTGAGGGGCCCAAAACTGAACATATGATTTGAGGTGCAGCCACACCAGTGCCAAGTACAGAGGGACAATTACTTCCTGATGGTCACACTATTTCTGATACAGGCCAAGATGCCACTGGCCTTCTTAGCCACCTGAGCACACTGCTGGCTCACATCAAGCCACCTGTCAATCAGCACCTCCAAGTCCCTTTCTGCTGAGCAGCTCTTAAGCCACTCTTCTCCCCAGCCTGTAGCGCCCCATGGTTTTGCTATGACCCAAGTGCAGGATCTAGCACTTTCCTTACTGAACCTCATGCAATTGTCCTCAGCCCATCCATCCAGCCTGTCCAGATCTCTCTGGAAAGAGATCAAATAATCAAATGTTGAACAGAACTCTTTATCTTAAATACTGCCTGTCCAAAGCTGGCTTGAAGCGAAAAGAACAGGTGGGAGCTCAACACCTTTAAAATCTAAACTACCTTCAGAAGTGATACACAGTTTGGAATCACCAGCTTTACTCATGCTAAACCATCCGGGATTTCAGTAGTCACAAACACACATCTTTGGCAATTCTCTTCTTAAACTCACTGTACCAATTTGGTGTCTTCTCATAACCACATCAGGTATTTAGACCTTACCAATGAAGTCTCTGAACTCTACAGCTTTGGGTAATCGTGACATACACTAAGCAAACAACTATTTCCTGTGAAAATCATAATTTATAGTAACCATTGCTGAGAAAATGTCCAAATACAGAGTCCAGTTTACCTGCCATCTCTTTCTGCTGTCCCACCTTCTGTTACTGTTTTGACAAATATTCCCAGTTTTTCAAGACCTGCATCTGCTCCAACTCCCATTCCAATAATGCTTATGCCAAGCCCATCTTCATCTGTAAAAAAGCAAGAGAAAGCAGAAAATTCTTACATTTGATATGTACAGTTATTTGGTAGGTAAATATTTATGCTTTGATCCCTCTTGCCTTTCCATGTCAACAACATTAATATTATTTTACTTATTTTTAAAAAAATCTATGCGACTACTATTTTAATTACACACAAAAAATATCACTTTCACCCTTATGAGGAGCTTAGAGAAACAGTCAAGATTTTTACTCCCCCAGCGAAGAATGAACATATCACACCAAACACTGTGCAAAATCCATGTGTTAATGGAGTGTCACAAAACAATTCTTTTAAGGAAAGTAAAAACTGGTTCTCTCTGAGCTGCTTCTTTAATTCCTTACTGAACAATTCCTGAAATCCAAAAAGCCAAGGTGACTACAACAGATTCATAGAAAGTCAAGATAAGCTCTGTATACATCTGTGGACTTCCTCAGACTTGTAGGTCAGTGTCACAGGAACTGGAAATGGCACACAGACACCATACCTTTTTCTAGTTCGACTGGGAAGAGCTCCAGCTTTTCCACACGCTTCTCGAGTTCATATTCAGCAGACGCAGCAACTGGGTCAACTTCATCATTTCTCCTGTCATAATCTTCATTAGAGTATGTATTGAAAACCTGTAGAAACAGACCAAAAATCACTCAGCTACCTACTCCAAAAAAACCTCCAACTTATGAAATTAGCTACTGCTTTTGTCCTGTGATGTTGCAGATTTTGAAAAGGCTTTTAAAAGACAAATTTCTCCTGTTCATTCAAACTTCAAGTTTCTAAATTTGTGCTTTTTCATTCGAGAAAGCACAAGTATGGTTGCAAAAGGAGTATAAGTTTTTATTGTTTTTGATTATAAATGAAAAAGTGATCTTTATTGACTATGTTGGTCTATGCACGCCAATATTTAAAATACTTAACTCATTAAGAATGCACTATTAGTAAACATTCACAGACATAAAAGAGTCAAATACATTGAAATTATAATCTTTACAATGTCTGTGTTTTAGTCTTTACTCCTAATGAAGTTCCAGTTGGCATTCACCTAACAAAGCTAGACCAGAAGATTATTCATCTACATTTACGTTGCCTATGGATATCATTAGAGATTATGATCCATATTATGTATTAACTTTTTTAGGACAGCAATATACACAGCCATGGGTATTTTTTAAGTAACCAGGTTTACAGGTTTATTTCAGCTCTAAAGCAGTAATTTAACAGTGACAGCATTAATCTGATTATATTATTTATGCTACTTTCTATCATAATTTCAACATGACCTTCAATCAGTGATGAGTCAGACCTTCAGGAACTTTAGTCAGGAAAAGCATATTTGCATATTTTAAAATTCAGAATTTGCCAGCCCAATTCACTTAACTGTCCACATTTGGCAGTAAGGAAAGAATATGCATTATTAGGGGTAATAATTTTACTGAGCTTCAGTCCCAGGGATATATCACATTCATTACTTCAATTATAAAGGAAAACAATTTCCCATATCTCCCCTTCCTCTTTTACAGACATATTACAGAAGATACAATTGGTAGTCATGTTTTCCTTTATCTCTGCTCCTCTTACAACACAAAACACTGCACCGTGCTACATAGCTACACATATATCCAGAAGCCTACTCTCTCAGCGCCTTTCTTGGAGGCTCCAAAGCTACTGTCCCTGGAGTAAGCACGGTAGCTCGGTGGACAGTGCAGTGCCAGGGGCTGGGCTCATTTCCATCTGAGGTTTCACCTGCCCAAAAAGCTGTTAGTGAACATTAATTTCATTTAAATAGCAAGTGTATTAAAGTTGCAATAAAAAATACCATTAAATTCTATTTTAAATATATTAACTGTGTTATGGCTACCACAAAGCTACTGAAAAAAACCCTCCCAGCTTTATATAAAGTAGTGGACAAAACAGAAAAGATATTAGTTGCTCAATGGGAATTTTAACTCCTGTATTTTACATCAATGTGAAACAATCAATTTCCTCTACCAAGAAGACTGAGATTTTACATTTTACAAGAATCTACAAATCTATCTCACACTGATTTTTAGTGATTCTGATCCAAGAAAAAGGCTTTTTAAACTACATTCCTAGGAAGTCTTCATAAATATACCCCAAAGCTAAGTAAGATTAATCACATACTGAATGCTGTCCAGTACTGCTGAATTTTTGATGCTGCTTTAGTACTTGTATGATTGGAGAAAAGACACTGATGCAGAAACAAGTATAAGGAGAAGTACAATGTCCATGTTGAAACCCAACCTCATTCATGCTGACATCAACTAAATGAGGATGAGTCAGTATTGCTAGACTCAACTAAAACACTACTGAGCTAAGGTTCGACCACAAACCTTTAGGTCTGAAATGCAGCAATTATGCAAGCAAATACAGGTTAAAACCAACAGCTGTTAGTTTAGCTTGAATTATCTCATTTATCAACACGATGAGAGAGACCTGTGCCTCAAATGTGAACAGAGATGAATCACATGAAGGAAAATGGAGATACTGTTTGCTGAAGACAAAGAATAGCTGAGAGTGAGGTATAGGGAAAAACTATATCACAAAATTAGTATATTTATTTCTGGATTTCTTTTCATTATATTAACTGGTCCCATTCTTTTCCTTGTGTTCAATGACTGGCATTAGTATATCATGGCAGCAGATTTGTTGCAAAATGACTGGATATGCTTCCAGATAATTTTCTTTCTAAGCATAAAATTGTATACTGAATTCTGGTTTGGGATGATCTTTCTTGAATCAGATTAGACAGAAGAGATGGCTTCTTGGATTCTGCTCACTGTTTTGGAATATTTGGATAATCACACTAAAAGGGAACTGAAGATACTGCTGGTGGTGAATACAGTTATCATTATGTCTCCAAATATATCATGCCGTTCTTATCTAGTATTTTACCTAAGCATTCAATCTGAGATTGTAGGATCACTGACTGCATTAAGGTCTATATTTCCTATCTGGCATTAACTCAGTCTTTTGTACATTGGTCACATATTTTTGCCCACTACCTTGAACAATGCTGTTGACTTCCCTGAATTAGGGGAAGACGGAGGATATTCTTGTATGTAATTTATCTCATTTTGTACAATCAAATTTAATGGTTGCCTGATTCTATTAAATGAATCCCCGGGTCTTAAACTGAAGAAAAGAAAATTTGTGCTTGGAAACTTTCTTTCTTTGTGAAACAATCTATCCACCATAGTAACAAACTGCTTGCTCAGTACAGTCATGAGAACCGTCACTCAAGTTTTACTTTGCTAAAAATAAGATAAACATTTATAACTTTTTCCTCAAGGTATGGTTAACTTGATTCAAGTAGAACTATTTCACTTTCCCCACATCTGTTGCCACTGTGTTTCCCAGAGTGTGCGTGGGATTTCAGACTCATGGGAATTCTCCCATTCCCTGTGATTTCATAGATTTGGGTTTGCTGTCACTCTGGCCAAGTACCCGGTACAATAAATCTTCTGAGCCATTACTTAAAGAAAGCTCTTTTTCAGGAAAATCCAATATACTATCTTAATCTCTGATTTTACCACCCCAGGTATTTAGAAAAAAACAATTTTCCATAGAGTTCACCTGCGGATTTACTAGGATTTACAACAGCACTTGTAATCCAGCAACAGCTGAAACAAAAAGCCAACACTGGTGAGATGTCAAAACAAACCCTGAAGAACTGCTGCCAACAGAACATACTTCTGTGTTCTCTAAAGTGAAAGGAAAAGGGGCCATCAGTAAATGAGACAATACCAAAATAATAATAAACTGTATTATCAAAGAAGCAGGTATTATTGTTAGGCACCCTGGGTGGCAACCCCAGGGAAATCATACATATACATACATATGTGACCACTCGCTTCTCTTTCAGAGGGCAGTTGACAGAACATAAACCAGAAAAGACACGTCACTAACTATAAAAATATACTGCGGACTAATTCAGAAGAAACCCTACATTTTTGTTATAGTACTTCATTTTTAGGAGTAAGATCAGAAAGATGGAAACTGATTATTTTTGAAAAAAGGCAAAGTTTCAAAAGTTTGGGGCATTTTCCCATAGCTCTTAACTACCAAGAATCTTTACAGAATTTAGCTGCCCGCAACCAGTAAGTAGTGACAAGCCTTTTTTAATTTTTTTAAAGAAAGTCAGAATGGAGGTAACTATAAAGAATCACGTGGGCTGTTCTCCCCGTGGGCTAGCCAGTTTGGAGCTACATAAACCACGTTATTAGTGTTTCATACTATAAATTATGCAACATAAAAACTGTCTTATCTGATGTAAGGCTAAGAGAATTGGGATTGTTCAGCCTAGAAAAGAAAAGGCTTAGGGATAACCTAATTGTGGCCTCCAGTATCTGAAGGGAGCCTACAAGAAAGATGGAGAGAGATTATTTACAATACAGGACAAGGGGGAATGGCTTCCAGCTGAGGGTACATTTAAATTAGATATTAGGAAAAAAATCTTTACTGTGAGGGTGGTGAGGCACTGGAACAGGTTGCCCAGAGAGGTTGTAGATGCTCCATTTCTGAAAGTGTTCAAGGCCAGGATGGATGGAGCTCTGAGCAACCTGGTCAAGTGAAAACTGCCCCTGCCCATGGCAGAGGGATTGTAACTAGATGACATTTAAGGTACCTTCTAGGCCATTCTATGATTCCATAAATCTATTTAAGAAAGTCACAAACATATTGAGTGTGTGCTGGTTATGACTATAGTGTCCTTGCAAGTTGTGCTAAGGAACAAGACCTGATCCCAGGTTCAGCTGCTGCCGACTGTGCTTTTTACCCCTCCAATGACTACTGGTCAGCAAAGACAAAGAACCAAGTACGAACTGCATATTGGTGGATGGCATCTTGTTGCAGCAGCTGTTCTACCACACCTTCAGTTACTCAAGTCTTACTCACACACAAAAATAATCTCTCTGACATTCAATTCATGATTATACTAGGACATTCAACATTGGGGGCCACAGTTAATGTACACTGGTGATCACCGTGCAATATCAATTAAGAAACCATGCCTTCACCTGATATTGCTATGCTGTCATAATGCCTGCTTCTCATACCTGTGTTCGGAAAGCAAAAACAAGCAAAAAAAAGATGTGATGTCATCCACCACAGGAAAGCAGCTGCAAAAAACGGCACAAGTTTTGTTGTGATCTTTTGCAAGAATCCAAATGAGGAAACTTAGTGGTTGAGTAAGTAGTTTGGAAATCAGACATTCAGAAAAACATTCGAAGTTGTGGATGAGACCCTCAATACTTTCTCAGTCTAGAGAAGTCTCTAAGTCCAGAACAGCATGCAACAGCCCCTCTGTGAGAAGGAACAGGTATATTTGCAGGGTATTTTACAATCATCTGTTTTGAATATACCAAACTGGACTACTGGGTTTCCTCCACTAAAGATGAAAAATTCTCTTGTGGGGAGATAACTGAGGAAGAGCTGTAAGAGTGTCTCAGGAAGAATCAGTCATGTTCAAGGACATGACACTGACCTATGGTGTTGTACTTGAAGCACAAGAAGCTGTGAGAATTCCTGTGCTATATCCTGCAAGGGCAGGAGGAAGGCACAGCACTGAGGATTCCCTCTCTGGCTGTGATCAAGAAGCTAATGAGAG